GAGGGAGGGAGGGAGGGAGGGAGGGAGGGGAGAGAAATACACACCATTACATTACTTCCAATTAAAGGTTGCTATAGAAAACAGACCTATAAATTCTGCTTCTGCATTTACTATACAACTGTTTTGGAAATGTGGTTAAAGTAAAAGAGTGAGACAGTCAGAAAGATTGAAATTATCATTAGAATGTGTTACATTAGAAACTGAGATTTCACAAACAGTCTTGATTCTGACAAGGATTCCCAGTGAATCCAGCACTGAGAATGGCTATAGTGCTGTTGAGATTTTTCTACTCCCTGTGCTGAATCCAAGTAAGACCTCAGTGAAAAAAAGTAAACATTGTCCCTTTCCACCAAGAGTTTTCTGCCTAATTGAAGGAGGGGGAAAACCTATATCAGTTGAAGTCTAATCAGAAAAACAGAAACCACCTCAAGTATTTTCTACAGAGGGAATTTAATGAAGGGTATTGGTCACACAGGGGATGGAGGAGCTGAGGAGTCAAACAAGACAGCAAGAAAACCCAGAGAATAACAGCAGGAAGCCATTATCATCCCTAGGCAGAGGGACAGAAAAATAGAGAAGCTGGGATTACAGCAGGCCTGTGTGGAGGAGCTGGGTTCACAGGGGAGATAGAGCTGCCGCTGGGGCTACAGCCTGAGACAGAAACGCAGGGCAACAAACACCCTTGCTTCTCCTCACCAACCTCCAATTTCCTGCCATGGCCTGCCACTAGGCAAACCTAGCCTGGAGCCAACAGACTCAGGAGCCTGGGAGCCCCAGCCTACAAGGATCAGAGCAAGGAAAGGGCAAGAAATGGATCTGAGGTTAAGCAGTCCCAGATCTGCCAGAGGAAAGGCAGACATTAATCAAAACTCACAAATATATCATTACATTTTGTTCTAAGTTCTGAGAAGGAGGGAACACGTTTCCAAAGCGTGGAACGGGAGGCCCCATACAGTCTTAATGATTACATGGGCTCTGAAGAATGGAGCAGGTGTCAACTAGGTGATGAGGTGAGGGATTATTAATGCACATGCAAAGATGGTGAGGGGATCATGTGGAGTTTTCAAAGAACATAGAAAGTCAGTGTGGCCAGAATGCAGGGTGCAGTGTGGATAGTGATGGCAGGATGCAACCAGAAAGGTGGACATAGAGAGTCTTGCAGACCATGTTAAGGGTCAAGGGTTTATTCTGTACATAACAGAAATCCACATACAGGTTTTAAGCAAGGTAAGAGGGACATCGTCAAATGTCTTGAGAACACTATAGAAGCCATGGCACAGTTTGGACTGGGGCAAGTGTGGTTCCGGGGAGGCAAATGCAGCTGTCCTGGTGAGAGATGGAGTCAGCTTGGCCTGGAGTGGATGGCAGTGATGGAAAGTTGATTTACCTGAGGTGATTGAGGAACTGAGACCAACGTGTTGTTAACTAGGACACCTACATGGAGAAGTTGCCCAGAACAGGAGCAGATCTAGGCAGGAAAGGAAGACTGTGTCAGGGGTCAGAGGTCAGGGTCCTAAGTGAATGTGTAGATCAGCCAGGAGATCAGAGGATGACAATGGATGACAGTGACAAGCTTAAAGTCTGCAGGGAGAGCAACTGTGGAAGAAAGAGTCAATGGGGAGAAAGTGCAACAGACAGGCAATTAGAGGTGGCTTAAATACCAGCTCAGCAAAGGTGACAGGAACAGGAGGCAGAGTGGGACTAAGCGACCTCAAAGATTGTAATGGAACTCTGGCTGTAGTGGACCAACCACTACACCATCTAGATACGCCCTCAGGATTAAAGAGCTCATTCCCCGATCTGTTGGGAGTGCTGCTGACAGTACGTCTTCAGCTGCCAGCCCTTTTCTGGAATTGGCGGAGCTGTAGACAGCCTTCTTCTCCCAAGGTCACATCAGCTTCCTGTGGAAGCCCACATCCACTGACTGGTTAATGCAGGGAAATAAAGCCTCAGACCTCTAGCCCCCACTCAGAACAACTCCAAAGGGCCATCCCAGCTTCAGACTCCCATGTGGCCAGCTGAGGGCTTTGTTGAGACTGTATTATTCCCTCTGCCCCATCTCTGCTTTTCCCCTTCCGCAGATGATGATCCCAAGAACAGTCCGTAATGCTAATCTCGGAGCAGTGCCTGTATTCTAATCTCCATCTCAGAGGCTTCTTTGTGGGAAACTCAACCTGTGACACTAGTGTGAAATCCTTTCAGAGCAGACTGAAGCCTCAGAAGTTTCAATGACACAATGAGTCATGTGTTCACTGCCTTTGGATTTTGTGCAAGGTTCCAGAGGGAAACTAAAAATAATTGTACTTACATGTGTCAAACAGTTTACACACGTTAACTCATTTAATCTTTTCAACTTCATTTCACAGATGAGGAAACTGAGGCAGAGAGAGATTAAGAAACTTGCTCAAGATCACACAACTGGTATGTGGTGGTGTCAGGGTACAAACCCAGGCGGTCTTTGATATAGGCAGCCCTTCTCTTAATCGCTTCACTCTACTGCCTCTCAGGCATGTGGGTTTGGCGGGTGGCTATTTTCTTGCCTTGGTAAATGTCCAACCCCAGGTAGATAGCACAGTAGTTCAACCCCAGGTAGAACCAGATTATTGGAAGAGAATTAGAACATGTCTCCTACAAATAGATCCTTCTTTCTTACTGCGTTCAATTTATGCTACTCACAGTCCCTTTACTAGTTAGAGACATTGCCTAGAAGCTGGTGAAACAGACAGGCCAGAACAAAACATCTGTTGGGATAACTCATAGAAAGGGCAGTACCCAAGCAGATCAAGAGGCAAATTTGTAGGCACATTAAAATTATTCTTAACCTTTTAATTGCAATAAGTAATAGGTAAAAGTGCATCATTTGTCTAACTCAGGGCTAGAAGATTTGGGTCCAAACAAAACACTCTTTTTTTTTTTTTAAGGAATATAAAACTATTTATTGACCACTGCTCACCAGTACTTACAATAAACAATATACAGTTAGGTAACATTCTGATTACTACAAAGTTATTGTTTTCCTGGCTTCTGCTGAACCAGTAACCCAAATACTGCAAGATTTGAGCCTACATGTAAGGAGTGAGTAGGGATAAACAAAAACCACACAGGTTAATAGTTGGTTTACAAGTTTGTTTATCCATTTATGCCAGCAGATGCTAAACCGCTAACATCTCTAACCGTGTGACTATGTTTTCATGAGCCAAGTCTTAGATATTCCATAAGTCATGAACTTTTAGTCAATACAACACAGGGATTTCAACTTGTTGTAAAGGAATGGCTCGCCAGACGAATCTTTAAATGTCCTTTTAACTGAGTCTTGCTTAGCTGATTAAAACACCAGGATTTGTCCAGTTTCCTTATCTCGGTAGGTTGTTGGTAGTGATGAATTTTGCAAATAAATGGTTGCACTTATATAACTATAGATATACATATGGATTTTGATATTGCTCTGCCTTTAAATTATCCAGTTACAGAATCATCCATTTAATTTGAAAGGTTATGGCTTCAGAAAAAATTCAACTTGAAGTGATTTATTTCTTAGGTTGTTCAGAATGATGGCATCTCAGAAATGTGAGCTTACCCCATGGTTTTTGCTTTGGTAAATGTTAAAAGCAAATAAACAAAAAAAAAATCCATTTATATATGTATTTTTTGCATACACACACACAGAAACAAACAAACCCAGAATGGTCGTTTGGCATATGAGTTAAACACAAGTTCTGATTGAGTAATGACTATGCAAATTTCCCCCAACATTTAGAAAAGGTGTTCTCTAATGCAGAGGAAATAATATACCATGGTATCAAATGTCCTTTTCTAGCAAAGGAGGCAACTACAGAAAGTTTTTATTTATTTGTTCAAAGTAACCAGTGCTGTTGATGCAAAAGATCTCAACAACTCCCCCAATACTACTTTCAAAATGAACATATCAAACTTGATTTTCATTGGAATGTAGTTATTTCTTCACACTAGTAAATCAAAAACTAAGACCCAGATTTTATATATAGATATATATAAAATATATGTATATAATATATATAAAATATATATAATATATATAAAATATATAATATATATAAAATATATATATAAAGCAATGCAAACAATTATTGAGCTTCATCTTCTGGACAAGAATGCCGAGTTAGTCTCTCTTCATAAAAAGCAATTACAATTTGAGGACACTTCACATTAGCCTCTTTTGCCAGCACCAAGTCTGCCTCATCTGAATCTTTCCGTTTCATAAGAACCATCAATTCTCCGCTGCTGTCCGTGGCACCAATTATTCTTTCAGGATCAAGGCCTCTGGCAAAGCCCCTTGGTTTGTCAGCAGCATCTCTTTTCTTCTTTGATTTGCTATCATCCGATTCACTGTCAGATAAAGATTTTCTTTTTGTGCCATCTTTCTCTTTACCAGCTTTTTGAGAATTAAGAAATGCTTCGATTAACTCTGGACAATCTAAATTTTCTTCAGGTTCCCAAGTACTGTCAGCATCTGTAAATCCCTTCCACTTGAGGAAATACTCCACCTTCCCATTCACTACACGTCGGTCCAGTACTTTTTCCACCACAAATTCTTCAGGCTCTGCCTCTTCGACTTTTTTACTTTTTCCATTCTGTTTCTTTCCCATTTTTTGCAATGTAGGTTTATTGGAGGCCATTTTTTACTGAAGATTTGAAGAGCTATTATTCACCCACTCCGAGCTGCTCCGGGTCGCGGGTCTGCAGCGTCTCCGGCTCCATGCGCCTCTAGCTCGAGCCACATCCGAGAGGGCACAAAACATTCTAAAGGCCAAGAAATCGTGGATGGTTTGCAATTACCATCACTTGTCTATTTCTTAAATTTCCCTTCTAGAAAAATATAAATTTTACAAAATTCAATAAAAAAGAAACCAGCATATGAGAAATAAAACTAGTAAAGCAAACTTACTAGAAAGACCTAACTGGCTTTGTCTTTCACATTCAGCACCCTTTTGTGTCCAGGACAGGATCCTAAATACATCTTTGATCATATTTATCATTCATCTACTTAAATGACAGTAAAACAAGTTCTCTTTTACACGTGTTTTCTTTTTCAGCCTCTCTGATGTGAAATAAACATGAAGCTGTCAAAGAGAATAAACTGAGAGAGGCTAAACTAATTTGCCACTGATGATAGTCATTATAAACAATGTGAATGTTGTTCCACCTCACTGGGATTTAAATAATCTTTCAAAAAGCTACTATATTCTAAAACGTGCATATGGAATCAGGGGACAAGAAGAAATGAGGGTACGGTTAGTGAAGTCAACAGAAATACCCTCCTCATTCCTGACACCAAATCAGAAAAGTCACTTGGGGGTTAATTTCTTTAAGCCCCTCTTCTTTCTCCCTTCTTCAAATGCCATCCCCAAGTTCAGTGTCTTTAGAAAGTTTTCATCCCCAAGCTCAGTGTCTGTAGAAAATTTTGTTTTTCAGAAAGTTTTAGAAAGTTTTCTAGAGGCAAAATGATTAACTAGGATGAGATTATCTTTCATTTTTAAAATGATAGTACCCAGTGCTAATGGAGACCTAATTAAATTAACAGTCTCAGAAATTCCTGGTGAGCTCTTTTCCTCCCTGGCTTCCTGATCAGAGGAAACAAATGGTCATTGACATTTTTCACCCCAGGAAAGCAACAGTACTTAAGACAGAAATTTGGGGAAAAACTAAACAAAATGTACAAGACCACACCGGATGTCATCTTCATACTTGGTTTCAGAATGCATTTTGATGTTAGCAAGACAACTGCCTTTGGCATGATTTATGATTCCTTGGATTATGCAAGGAAAAATGAACCCAAACATAGACTTGCAAGATATGGTCTGTATGAGAAGAAAAAGACTTCAAGAAAACAGCAAAAGGAACACAAGAACAGAATGAAGAAAGTCAGGGGGACTGCAAAGGCCAGCAGTGGGGCTGGCAAGAAGCAGAAGGAATAAGCATTCTGCAATGACTTTATCTGTGGTGACTGTGTGAATTTTCACAAGAGGATTAATAAATATGAAAAAAAAAATTTTTTAGTTCCTGGTGATATTGTAAAATTCTTTTGAAAATAAAACTTTAATTATCTTTCATTTCTGATAATGTTACGGTGTAATTATCCTAAAGATGGAAAAAACTTTACTCACAAAGATGTACATTATGGTACTATTATTTATACTAAGAAAACATGGAAATAGTCAATGTCCACCAATATGGGAATGATTAAATAAAAATATAATGCAGCACACAGGAAAATAGTATGAGCTGTTTTAAATGTAAAGAATTTTAATAATATTTTTAAATGTTTATGTTATCAAGAAAAGGTTATGAAATTGTATTATTCATAATATAGTCTCAATTATGTTAAAATTGGCAAAAATATGGTTAAGTGCCAAAGACCACCAAGACAATTACAAAGAAAGTGGGGAGAAGGGGAATTTTACTCTTCTAGACATCAAGGCTTATTATGGTTAAGTTGCAATTATTAAACAGTGAGTATCAGGGCAGAAGTAGGCAAACAGACCAATGGAACAGAAACTATATATGGTTTAACATATGTATATTCACATATAAACACACGCACACATATATATATGTATGTATATACATACATACACATTCATACATGCCCACACATACATACATATATAAACAGAGGTGGTATTATAATTAAATTAAATAATGCTAGGACAATAGATGCCAAATGGAAAATATACAGAGTTTAGATCCTTACTTCATATTGTATATAAAAACTAAAATCCACACAGATTAAAAAACTTAAATATAAAAAAAATCTAAACCTTTTCTGTGGAATATACTATAAAGCATATGTACTTCACAGGGCCTAGTTTTCCAAAGCCTTGCAGTTTCAAATATTGACCTTGTGGAGGAACGGAAATTTTCCTCAGGCTATAAAGTCTCTGGTGAAAGATAAAAATTGTGGCACAGCAAGGTTGCTGGCTCAAAGACAGATTAGTTACTGATTGATATCTCAGTTGCTGGAAAACTGCTAAAGGGAGAAGGAATGTTTCCTAAGATCAAGCTTTTGTTGATAGCCTGACTGGAATGTCATCTGGCTTGTTTCACTGAAAGTTACCAACCTATATTGTTAAACTATAACCCCACCTATGTTCTCTTCCTGTAACTTCCTGGTCTGGAAAATAGATGCAGGAAGAGAACCCCAACTTGGGGTTAATTTCCCAAGGAAAGGTTGCCTCTCGCTGGAGGGTCCCAGGGAAATTAACCACTTCGGGGTCTCTCACTGCTCAGAAGAGATGGGCTTTGAGTAATCCTTTGTGTCTCCATCACCCAGGGGATATGCGGTGACAAATCCATGGGGGTTGAAGCAACACAAAGCAACACTTTTCCAGGAAAATATAGTAGTATATCATTATGATCTGAGAGTGGGAAGAGGATTTCTTAAATAAGATACAAAAATCCAAGCCATAAAGAAAAAGTTTGGCAAATCTAATTGCATTAAAATTTTAAACCCCATATGACAAAAATATGCACATAAATAAAGTGAAAAGACAAGCCACTGACTGAGAGAAGATATATCAACATCTTATTTGTATCCTGGATATATAAAGAATTTCTACAAATCAATAATATGAGAAACCTAGACTGTACAAACAGAAAAATGGACAAGGGCTATTTGTGAACAGGCAATTTGTAGAAGAAAAAATTCAAATGACCAATAAACATATGAGAAGATACTTAACCTTACTGGTAATCAAGGAAATGCAAATTAAAACCAGAGTAAGATACTATTTTACACTTAAAGGACTGGCAAAAAATTAAAAAGTCTAACCATATCAGTAGAGATGTTAAGAGATGGAAAACTCTCATGCATAGCTATGGTGCTCTGGGAGAGCCAGGAGAAGACAGCCCAACCAAGGCTCTCCTTTGCTTTCCAGGTGATCAGATTTCTGGAGACAACAACTTTCTTTTTGTAATATATAGTAAGCTCTCATTAGTGGTGAAGTTTTCCAATCAAGAAGAAAGTGGAGTTAATACAATTATAGACTGGTGAAGAGGTTAAGATATCTTCAGGCAAGAGAGCTTTTAGCCCTCCCTTAAATCTCACCACATGATCAGCTGCCAACACCAGACCTTCCTCTGCCTGTTCCTGTAGTGGGACTAGTTCTTCTCTCCCAGCCCTTTCTGACGTCACTCCCACAGTTCCAGCCAACTGAGCAAACTGAAAAAATAAGTCACTCACCTCTCTTCTGCCAGACAGAACCTAGAATAAAACTTTAATTGAATTCTTATCAAGGCTATCATCTCAATGTTTGTCTTTGGATAACTAAGGAGACAGCCATCAGAAAACAAATAGTCCTGCGCCAGACCCTCTGAACATTCCCAGTAGTCCCAAAGGGGAACAATTAGGAAGGGAGAATGAAGGAAATGCTCTTTTGGCGTAAGCATGTAGTAGATTGACTCTATGAAGTGCACCAAACCTCGCAAATTTCAAGGCAGTGAGGGATCTTCGTTTTTCTTTCTCCTCATGGATTTAGACAGCACTGTCTCTGAGAATTCATGTTTATCCCTAAAAGGAGTGTGTGTTAGTGTCTGTGTGTGTGTGTCTGTTCATTTGGGAGAATAAACAGGAGCAACTCTACTCACGCTGGTTGTGAGTTCTTAAAGAGGACAACAAGACAGAAAACCCCTGTCCACTCTGGAACGCACTGGGAGACTTGGAGTACCAGAGTCCCCTCCTCCACCTGGACAGTTCTATTGTGTTCTGCCCTGCTATGGCATCTCCCATAGTGGGGTGGCTGCCATTACTTTAGGCCCAACCACTCAGACTTGAGAAAACAGACTCCAAGAGGAAAGAGAGAAGAGGAATGTTTCCTAGGAGGAGATTAATCCCTGTGGATAGGTGTGAGGTTTTCCAAACAGTACTTGGAGATATTCATGGGAAGGGAGGTTAGAAGAAGGAACTAGTCATGTGCCATATAACAATGTTTCACTCAACAACAGAGCACCGAGATCCCGTAAGATTATAATACCATATTTTTCCTCTACCTTTTCTGTGTTTAGGTATGTTTACATACACAAATACTTACCATTGTGTCGCCATTGCCTACAGTATGCAGTATGGTAGGATGCCATACAGGTCTGCAGCCCGGGAGTAATAGGATATAGCATATAGTCTAGGTTTGTTGTAGGCTATACCATCTAGGTGTGTGTAAGTACACCCTGTAATGTTCACACAACAAAATCACCTAATGACACATTTCACAGAACGTATTTCCTTCATTAAGTGATACATAACTATATATAAAACAGGAATAGTGCTGAGGAGAGGAGTTCATCCATAAGAGGACTGTATCAGTTTCCTATCGCTGCTGTAACATTACCGCAAACCTGCTAGCTTAAAACATCACAGCTTTATTCTCTTATTGTTCTGGAGCCCAGAAGTCTGAAATCAAAATATGAGAGGGTAGTGCTCCCTCCAGAGGCTTTGGGGAAGAATCTGGTCCTTGCCTCTTCCAGCTCTGGGTAGCTGCTGACATTCCTTGGCTGAAGGCCACGTTGCTCCTATCACTGCCTCCATCCTCACGTCACCTTCTTCTCTCTGTGTGTAATCACCTGTGTCTCTCTTATAAGGACACACGTGACTGGATTCAGGGCCCACCTGGATATCCAGGATAATCTCCCCATTTCAAGATTCTTAACCTAATCACATCTGCAAAGACACTTTTTCTTTATAAGGTAAAATTT